AGGAAACATAGAAAGAAAGAAGAGAGAGAGAGAAAAGCAGACCCTAAAGAAAGAACGAAAGGCAAGAAGAAATGAAGGAAAGGAGGAATGAAGGATAGAAAAAAAGAAGAGCCCCCAAAGAAAAAAATGAAGACAGATGCAAAGAAGGAAAGAAAGAAAGAAAAGGCAGGCAGACAGGCAAGAAGGAAGGAAGGAAGAAAAGAGCCCCCTTAGTCCCCCCTGGTCTGCACTGACCTTCCTCTAACTAGCCCCCTGTTCTGGCCTGGCCTAGCCTGGCCTTCCAGTAAGGGCTCTCCTGGCCTACTGTCCCCTAGGGCTCCCAAGAAAGAAAAAAAAGAAAGAAGAAAGAAAAGAAAAGAAAGAACGAAAGAAAAAAGAAGAAAGAAGAGAAAGAAAGAAAGATAAGAAAGAAAAGTAAAAAAGAAAGAAAAGAAGGAAGAAAGAAAAAGAAAGAGAGAGAGAGAAAGAAGGAAGGAAGGATTGAAGGAACAAAAGAAGAAAGCAAAGAAAGAAAGAAAGAGCTGCCAAATAAATAAAGAAAGAAAGAAGGAAGGAAACGGGAGGGGAAGGGAGGGTTAAGGGAAGGTTAAGGGAGTGGTAAGGGAAGATTAAGGGAAGGTTAGGGAATGTTAGGGAGGATTAAAGGAAGGTTAGGGAAGGTTAGCAAAGGTTAGCAAAGGTTAGTGAAGGTTAGTGAAGGGAGGAGGGAGGGGAGGAAGGAAGGAAAAGAGAGGGAGCCCCCCTAGAGTCCCCTTGGCCTGACCTGGTCTTCCTCTAAGAGAGCCCCTGGCCTCACCTGTCCTGCCACTAAGGGCACCTCTGGCGTTTCCTGGCCTGCCACTAAGGGCTTCCCTGGCCAGGCCTTTTAATGGCCCCATTGTCACTAAGGGTGGGCCTAGCCAGGCCTGCACCAGAGACCCACTGCCTCAAACCCACTCTGGACTGGCCCGGCTTATACGATCCTGCAGGCCTGACCTGGGCTGGCACTATGGCCTGTCTGTCCCAGCCTGGCCCAGATCTAAGGATCTGGGCTGTCCCCAGGGCCCTTCTGGCCTGTACTGGCCCAGCACTATGGGCCACCTCTGTTCTGGCGTGGTGCTATGGGTACTCCGGCCAGGCCTTGCCTTCCACTAAGTGCTCCCATGACTGGACCTGACCCCAGGGCCCCTGTGCTCTCGCATGCCACTAAGGGCTGCCCTGGCTCCTAGGCTGCCAAGGGCCTCTTACTGCTATGGGCCAGCCTGGCTTGGCCTGCCCACAGAACCCATTGGTTTTTCTGCCATATGGCCCACCATTACTAGTCTGCCCCTAGCAGACCACAACCTTAAGGGCCACCCTGCCACTAAGGCCACCACTGCCCCTAACAGCCCCACTTTACAGGCCTGTTCCTGGGCCACGTTGGCCTGTCTTGGTGCTAAGAGCTCCTTAGCTTGCCTCTAAGAGATCACCTGCCATGGCTTTCCCTGCCACTAAGGGCCCTCTTTGAATGGCCTGGTCCATGGCCCCCTTGGCCTGCTTACTGCTATAGCCCCCCTGACCTTGCCTGCCTGTGTGTAAGAGACCCCCTGGACTGGCATGGGCTGACCTGTGGGTCTCTTACAGGCAGACAAGGTCAGGCCAGGACAGACCTGAGTCAGGTCCAACCAATGGGTCTCTTCTCTACACCTGGTCAGGCTCACCCATAGTGGCAGTGGGGCCCATAGCAGGCCTGGCCAGGGACCGTTAGTGGCAGGCCAGGAAAGTCCAGGGGCACCGTTAATGGCAGGACAGGGCAAGTGAGACCAGGGTGTCTCTTAGAGGCAGGCCAGCCTGGGAAGCCCTGGGGGGGACTTTCTTTCTCTCTTGGGGTCCGAAGGGGAGGTCAGGCTAGGGCCTCCTGCCTGTTAGTGGCAGGGCAGGCCAGGAGGGACATAGGTGGGCTAGAAGAAAAAAGGTAAGAAAAGAGAGAGAGAGAGAGAGAGAGAAACAGACCCCAAAGAAAGAAGGAAAGGCAAGAAGAAACGAAGGAATGAAGGAATGAAGGAAAGAAAAAAAGAAAGAGCTCCCAAAGAAAAACATGAAGACAGATGCAAAGAAGGAAAGAAAGAAAGAAAATGCAGGCAGACAGGCAGGCAGGAAGGAAGGAAGAAAAGAGCCCCCCTAGTCCCCCCTGGTCTGCACTGACCTTCCTCTAACTAGCGCCCTGTTCTGGCCTGGCCTAGCCTGGCCTTCCAGTAAGGGCTCTCCTGGCCTGAGGTCCCCTAGGGCTCCCAAGAAAGAAAAGAAAGAAAGAAAGAAAGAAGAAAAGAAAAGAAAGATAAGAAACAAAAGAAGAAAAGGAAGGAAGGAAGAAAGGAAGAAAGAATGAAAGGCAGGAAGGAAGGAAGGAAGAAAGATAGGAAGGAAGGAAGGAAGGAAGGAAGGAAGGAAGGAAGGAAGGAAGGAAGGAAGGAAGAAAGAAAGAAAGAAA